TGACCTGTACAGTTCCCTTAATCAAAGACTAAGGAGCATTTATCTCTACACTAGACCAAGGGTTTACAAACAAAGAGGCAAAAGTATCGGTAGATAAAAGTAAAAAGTGACCCTTGTTTTGTTGTATATTACCTGAAAATGCACACAAAGATTCAAAGATAAACCCATTATTCAATGTGTTAATTAATACCTTATAAACAGAATTTTATCTCTTTAGCCATTCCTCAAAGTCAGTGAAGTCAAACTGTTGAAGAGCTTGGCTCACAATTCAAGAACTGTCCCAAGATGGTGCCTCAAACCACAGAATAAGTTTACACTTGATTACCTTCCACTTCACCGACAGGGATGGTGTAAGAATTCCTAATGTAAAACCTTGTTATTATATTGCAGTTCCTCTGAAAGTGATTATAGGAAAACAGTTGGAACTACACTTTGTGGGGTGGGTTGCTCTGTTTTGTTTCACCTGAAGAGTCCAAAAGGAAAAAAAAATAAAAAGACATCTGAAATAGGTAAAAGCAACTTTCCATGGGAAGAAGACATTTGTGCTTGTGTGTTTAGAACCTCCATGTTTATAAGCAGTAAGCTTTTTAGACCCAGTTTTGGGATCGTGTCACAGTAGAACAGATCAAAGAATGAACATAGGGGTGCTGACAAAGACTTTGTAACATGGATTTTGTAAGGATGTAATTGCTATGTGGTTTTATGTGTTTTTATAGATTCAGCATCAAGAGCAGCAGAAGAAAGACATTTTTATCAAGCTGTGAAGAAAAAATGTTACAGAAATAAATCCCAAGTAGAAAAACACTCTAACAAACTTCTCTGAGACTTTTGTGACTAAGGTGGGTTGTTGTTTGCGTTTTTAAACCCAAATCTTCTTATGAAGATAGTCATAGATAGATGTGCTGTTTAGGCCTGATTCATAAACTTGTCATTTGTGAGGTCATAGGTCATATTTTATTATCTTTTTATTCTTCATGCATTTAAAGTTTTAATACCCATTCAGAGGTCTTCTTGAATTGTGAACCGTTTTCTTCTTCTTTTGGGTATAAGTATGAGAAAAGCAAGTATGTGAAGGACAGGGAAGGCACGGCTTTTGTGAAAAAAATTAATATTATATATCAGCATTATTTTATGTGTCTATATAAGCAGAATTAAGTATCTCATGGAAAAATACCATTGTTTTAAGTGATTTTTCTCCCCCATTAAGCTGCCAATTCTAACTCCACGCACCTCCCAGGCCCGGCCTCAGGCGGTTGTCGTACCCGTCCAGCAGCCGGTCCAGGATCCGGGTGAACACCGTGGTGTTGTCTTTGAGTTCATCCTGGGATGAGGTTTGGCCATAACTGAAACACAGAACAGTCAATACTGACCAACACTAATCCACCAATAGCCTTACAAAACAGTCATTCCAAAATCCAGTTAATCTTGCTTATGCTGGTTTATGGTCACATAACCTCCTCCATATAACAAGATTGTTGTGCTTTATAGGGTTCTTTCCTGTTTACATTTTGGTCTTAAAACGTACATTTTTTTAAATCATAGAAAATCAGCGACCCTCTATAAATGCTGAGCAAATAAAATGTCAGTTCCCTCATGTTTATCTCATTACTCATTGATGTTTATAATGTGCAAATTATATATGCTATAATGTGTGTGTATTCCTCATGAAAAGGCTTTTTTGTCAGCAAAAAATAGTGTGTTTAATTTGTAATAGTTATAAAGGATTTGCATGCAAAGAAAGATATAGTAATTTAGAACACTGACATTAAGTACTGAAAATAAATGCTGAAAAAACACAGAGATATCTTCTTCTTGAATGTAGAAATAGACTGAGTGTGCATTTTCATAGATCAAGATATTATTTTGCTTTATTTTATTTCTCATTTTCCTTTAGCCGTTAGATGTGGAGGAATATTTCCATCTTTTCCTTACAAATGCATAACAAAACTGTCTGTTGGTATGAAAATCTCTCATGTCTGTAAAGCTTCACTTGCAGATCTCTAATGTGTATCTCTAACTCAGGCAAAAGTCCTGAAATTTTACTTGAAGAAGGATAAAATTAAAGCTCTTTGAACTCAGCTACAAAAATCTTACTGCCATCAATACAAATCAGGATGAAATCCTTGGGCTTACTGGTTCCTGTCTGCTGTAGATGATATCAGAATCAACCTCCTCCTTACATCTGAAACCTTTCCCTAAATCCCTGTCCCAGATGACTCCCTTGAGCAGAGATCACACTTGTCCTAAGGCCTCACCCAGTGCCATTTTCTCATGGATTGCTGGGCACACTTCCATTACCAACATGCCTTGGCATCGGCACTAAAGCAAAGCTCTGCTTTTCCAAACATTGGTTTGCTGCTCCTGAACTGGAGAAACCAAGAAACCCTGCAGTGCCAGAGCCTTTTGTCAGGCCCAGGTGTGACAGAGGGATCCCTCCTTTGGCCCGTTATCCCTTGGGCACGAGGGCTCTGCCAGTCCCTCCTGCTCTGACCAGCCCAGCCCACCCAGGAAGAACAAACTGTTAATGAAATGATGTAGTTCTACTAAAATACCTGTGAAATGATTTCCTGTAAAAGCTGCAGCAGTCAGACATGGCTGGTGTATCCCACACACACATTCCACTTGCATCAAATACAGAGAGAAGGAGGAAGGATACCCTGAATATGGGGACTCTGGAAATGCTTCCAAGTTTATTTTGCTGTACACGTTTGAATATGTAATACTAAAAATTTAAATTAGTTTCAGGAGTGACATCCATGGAAGTTTTGGTTTATTTCCATAGGATGTGACTTTGTAAAGAACAATGTTCAGGGGGTTTTTAATGCATATAAATCACTATTTCTAATGAAGAAGACAAAATCTCTCACAGTTTTAAAAAATGCTATGAATTTCCTCTAGCCATATCATACAATTTCACTTCACAACAAAATAGGTAGATTTATGTTTATTGTTCGTACCTACAGTTGAATTCTAAGTCACAGACACAATTGGTTTTTTCGCTTCCTATATATTATCAAATAACAAGTTGTGCTGTCTCCAGAGCATTATCTTTGAAAGGATCTTTCCTCATCCCCCTGGAACATTGCAACACAGGACCTTTCACGGGATTAAATTCACGTTGACACTCATTGTCAGCAAACAAGCTGCTGTACATACATATCTCAAGGAGAGCAGAAGGTCATCAGGATTAAGGTGGAAAAAGGCTCTAAAAACACTTCAGCAATTGTAGTGGTAAAGAAATGAGTATGTTTGAGAGGTGGTGTGAGGAGGATGGCCTGGTGGCAGCACAGTGGGACAGACTCCCTGCTCCCATGCTGGGATCACATTTGTCATTTGTCCTTACCTGTTCTTCCCACCATTTTAGCAAAGGTAAAAAGCACGTTAGGGCTGGGTTTTACTGACATATGGTCACAACAGGAGGATTCGGAACATTTGTGCACATATGGAGTAGGCTTTAACTCCAGAGGGACTGTGATTTTTCATTCAAAACACACATATTATAATAGTTCTAAAGCTGGGGGAGGGGGTTATTGTAAGAGTGACATGGGAACATTGTCTTCCTGTATCACAGACACTTTATGTCATTCATCAATTGGTTTTTATCATAAAGCATTAACAGCACCCCAGAAACAAAGGCAAGGGAACTTACTATGACAAAATGGCTTTAAAACCACATCTATTTCATGTAAGGTGTGTAGATTTTAAGGAAAAAGTGACTGTATGCAATTGTATTTTCACATGAAACCCCGGTATAATAAAAAACTGTGCACTGACTCCATCTACAGGTCATTCCAATACTGACACACCACCGAATTTTTAAACACTGGTCCAATGCCTTTTAATTCTCACGTTAGGAATGCACACACGTCCATTACAGTATAATAAATATGTGTACACAGATGCATGGATGCATAGCTAGAGAATAAACATGTTTTCACAAAATTCTCCAGCTAGGTCAGAGGAAGTACTTTGTGAATACCTCAAATCTCGCCTTAATATACTATAAAAATAAAGTTATTGTTTCTGAAACATCAGATTTATTCAATACAACAACTCTTAAATGACCCACCCACTTTCATTATTTATTGTTTTTTAGAGGAAATGGTTGTGCAGATGAACCTTTGCCCACTACACTCCATCTGAAATCTTCAAGGTAGTCAGGGATCTCTGAGGGATCACCATTGACAATACAAAATTGACATCATTGACAGGACATTAATGGTTTTAAAATACAGAAATACATCTGAGAGTCTTCTTAAACACCTTCACTGACTTTTGAATTGCAGAGAGTACTTCAAGCATACTGCAAACTGCTTTATAGCCTTCAGTTAACCTACTAATTGTTTGATGAGGTGTTGTATGATTATAAATTGCTCTTAATACAAATGCTATTTTTAGATCATGATTTCAACAAATATCCCACAAACATTAAGTACAGCATGGTCTTTCCAACATAACTAGCATGGGCTTTGAGCTTTCAGATTCTTCTCCATCCAAGCAGTCTTCCTTCAGCAGGAAGGTCTACTTCAGATTTTCAATACAATTACTAAGTTAGGACACAGTCCTGACCAACAAAGAAGTTAAGTTTTGCTTCTGCTTGCAGTGACAATAAAGTTACTAAATGTGCTTAAATGAGATATAAAAACCCCTTAATTATACTTTTTGCCCTCTAAAGAAACTTGTATTTCTGAGTAGTAATTATATAAGAGTAGAAAAGGTTGCACAGGTGTTTAAGAGGTAGTTTAGTTTCAATTTGTTTCAGAAAGCTTTTTCTTTATTTTCTTCACCATATTGAAAAAAAAAAAGTTGTCATGCAAACAAACTGTAGTTTTCTTTCAGACTTCCCCTGGTTAGATTTATCTGGGATTTGAACAGAGATTAAGTTCCCCCAATACACTAAGTGGTAGTGCAGCCGTGAGTTTGTCTTATGCTGCTATATTAAATTAAAGGTTTCTAAATTATGTTGATGCATTAAAAAATATCTCCCCACCTTCTTTCAGTCAGTGCATTCAGAAGGAGGCTCCAGGCCCAGAGACAGTCACAAAGCACCAGGAATCTCTTCATGGTGGACTCTGAAACTAGAAGGAAAATAACCATCAACATCCCCTACATTAAAGCAGGTATGACAGAACAAAAATGTCTGATTTTGGAAACTTCTGCAGAATAATTTGGTGTCAGGCAGTGACCTCACAACAGTATAGCTCATGTCATTCAGAATAAGGGCCCACAGCCTTGGCTGTTCTCCTGTTTATCTTTTACTTTTAGACCCAGAGGCTTAGGGTGGGATTTATTTTGCAGTAAGGGTGGATTCTTTTTGCATTATTCTTGAGCGTTAACAAAAATTACGAGTTAAAGCTGCTGTCCCCAAATTCTGTGGCAATTCTTACTCAGTTTCCTCCTGTGTTGAAAATGTGACAAGGTGCCTCCATAACATTTCCAGATACCCAAGTGGAATTGTTTTTGTTTGAGCCCTTCCAAAGCTCTTGCAAAGTGTCAGAGTGGGGTGGGGTGAATGAGGAGAGCGGTGCTTTCCTCAGCCACAGCTTTGCTTTGATGTGATGGAATCAGCTTCCTTCTGAAGACACAATTCTCCTCTTCCCTGAAATCTCAGCATCAGAAAAGGACTAAAATGATCAGATTCTAACTCTATGATCTGCTCCTACATAGGCACACTAATATTTTTGTTGGGCTAAAGGGCACAATTCGTAATGAAAGCATGTGCTGGTAACCTACACACCATCTCCTAAATCTCTACCAGTCTCTGAATGCTGCTAGGAAATGTTTTTGCATTAGCAGCCCTCTCCTCCTCTCCAAATATCTCCTGTCCTCTCTCCAGACTTCAGCGAGTTACTCTCAGTTTACCTTTGAGTAAAAAGTAACACAACTTAAAAAGTTTCTTTTGCTTTCTAATAAACCATAAAATAAAAAGTTAGCTGGTATTTGTGGAATCGGTGTTCCAGATTCAACTGATTGCCCAAGAGATGTTGCAAGTCCCTTTACATATCAATATAATGTGTGCTGGAATCCAGTTGATTTTTAGGATTCATTACATTAAATAAGGGCAGGCAAATACAAAGCCTGTATTTTCCCCCAGTAGTGAATTGGAGGGTTTTTTATGTGCCTGAGGAAGTAAAGCACTGTACACAGAAATGTTTTTGTACCTTTAAATAAAGCTACCCCAATTCACTGCACACTCTGAGGGCCAATTTAAATCAATAAAATACCGTTACAAAGCGGTATGTAAGCAATGAGATATAATTAATGCGTTTATAGCGAAATGATGGGCAGATAAGCATTGAATGGGGCTGAGCTAATCTAACTGGATAGGAAGGAGCTGGATGTGGCAGGAAAGCGTGGATAAAGATCATCAGGGACGAGACTGCATCTTAACTTGCCCTGTAATCAGCCCCTTCACAAAGGGAAAGGCAACATCTGTGGCTTCAAAAATCGCCTTCTCCCGGTCCTGCCAACTTCTGCCTTTGCAAAAGGCTCCTCGGGATGAAGAACGGAAAGTGAATTATTCTGAACTATCTTGATCTGTTGAGCTCCACGCTCTCCCCCCTCCTCCCAACACCACCCCCAATAAAACCGTGCAGGCACTATAAATCCCGGAGAAGGAAAGTTTCTTGCATCTGGAAAAAGCAAATGTTAACAACGACTTTGAGAAGCGTTAAAGCCCAGCAGCTTCCCTGCCCCCCGGCCTCCCCCAGCCCGCAACGCCTGAGAGCCCAGCGCCGGTTCTCCCGTTCAAAATGGGAGCAAGAGCCACGCTGGGAGCGCTTCAGCAGCGCCCACTGGAAAGGAAAAAAAAAGGAGGGGGGGAAATGGGGAAAATTAAAGAAAAAACGGGGCTAAAAAGGGGGCATTTTGATGCATTTTTGACTCACGATGAGAGGTTTGCCTCTCTCTGAGCAGCAAATCGAGACTTGTTTTCCTCCCGGCATTTCAACTTTGCATCCCCCTGCCCCGAGCAGCCACCCCTCCCACCGCGCCCGCGGGAGGCAAAAACCCAAACCCCAAAACCTTCTGCGAGGGACCGGCGGAAATCAGTCCGCGCTAAAAAATAAATAAATAAGAGAAATGACAATGCCCATCGATCGCTGCGGATTTTCAAGCGGGAAGGAGAGGGAAAAAAATCCCCCCGAGCCGGCGGTACCTGCGGAGAGGGGAGAGGAGCCGCCTGCGCGCCTGGCCGCGGTGCCCGCGCCGGCGGCGGCCGGAGCGGTGCGGTGCGTGTCCGTGTGTCCCTGTGTCCGTGTGTGCCCGTGTGCGTGGCCGTGGGGGTGAGCCCCTCGCCGCCCTTACCGGAGCCCTGGGCGCGGGTCCCTGTGCCGCTGCCCGGCGCTGCCCCGCCGTGCCCGCCCGCCGGCGCGGAGGATGCGCGGCTCCGGCTCCGCCGCTCACTCCGCCTCGGCCATCGCCGCCGCTGCTCCGCTCTCCGGGCTGAGCACCCAAATTTCTCTGCCCAATATTCCGACCGCCGCTATACAACAAAAGCTTTCTCTTTACCAAGACAGTAGTAATACGTCCCAGGGTAAACCGGATGTGAAATAGGCTGTGACTTCATGCCAGAGAGATTTTATTTTAGAAAGGAAGGTGGTACCAAGCTCTCATCTAGAGACCAATCCGCCCATTTTTTATATGCAGCACAATTTAACTTCCAGTGCTCTCGCCCTAATCCCTTTCTCTCTGGCTGCAGACTCAAATCCTTCTACAATCTGCAGCATTATTATTATTGGGGGGGGAGGCTGCACGGCCGGGGGAGGCTGCGCTGAGCATCTTTAGACACTCGCAGTTTACAAAACAGTCTATTTTAAGGGTCGTACATTAAAAATATAACTGATCTGAGTTAGCGTTCGACCTTTGATGGAATATTTAGTCGCGGCATAAATATGAATGAAGGCTGGCTGGGGGTGTAGAGGATGCAGCACTACGCGCTGGTGCCTATAGCCTGTCGGTAGCCATGGGGACCCGGAGGCAGCCCGTGGCCATAGGCAGTGGGGGGCAGAGATGCTGTGCAGTTCTGATTAAACGCAGGGAACGCATTTTGGGCGAGGCGTGCGGGAGCGCAGCCCCAGGACGCGGTGGCTCTCCCGCACTTCCACACGCCCGTGGCCGGCAGGTGCCCGTTTGCCCCGGCTCGGCGAAGGGCTGCCCGTGCTCGGGGGCTGTCCGTGCTCGGGGGCTGCCCCCGCACCTCCCCTGTCCCCGCGGGGCCGGGACAGCCCAGCCCGGCCGGAGCCCGCCCGGTCCCGCGGCTCTGGGGTCGCTCCCACCCCCCCGGCCCCGCTGGGGGCCCGGCCCGGCCCCGCCGTGCCCGCCGAGGGCTCGGTTCTGCCTCCTGGGACCGGCACCGCGACCCCCGGGCAGCCCCCGCTCCCCTCGGGCCGAGCGGGGCCGGCGGGGCCGGAGCCGCTGCGGGAAACGGGGACAGAGTTGGGCGCATCAGGTCCGGGGAGGTGTCGGTGTGCGGGCAGCGCCGGCAGCGCTCACCTGCCCACCACAGGTTATCGTGCTGAGGCACCGGCTCCCAGCCTTCTGCAGGGATGTCAGACACTGCGAACCGCACGAACTGCACGGTCAGCTGTCCTAGCTCTGCTTAATGTAAAGAGCAAATGAAGTCCTTCGTCAACGGTATCTGTTTCTCATAAAGCACCACCAGCATCCTCGGGATGAAAAGAAGTTCCCATATCACATGCACCTACTGGCTTTCAAACACTGTCTACTTTCCCTCTTCTCCTCTCAATGCCATCACCCATTCAATTTCTGTTCCCCCCTATAATGCTGTTCCAAGGGAGGTCAAAATCCATATATCTTGTCAGAGATAACCTGAATTGGTATTTTATGTTACAGTTAAGCTATCTGTTGCAAGCTTTATCCAGATTTTTAAATCAAATGTTGCACGTTCTGTACATCCTCATGAAATGCGTGATCTGTTTGTCTCTGTAACAGCACAGGAAGGATTTGATTTGACCCAAGAAACCAATGACATTCATAGCTAAGGCTGGCAATAACTTCCAAGGTGGCAGTCATTTTGGATAAGTGCCTGACATAACAGTCTAAACACTGCAATGATTTCCCTAAGCACAAGGAAAATAGAAATTTTGTTTATCAAATTCCTCTAGTGCACCAAGTTCAGCCAGTCATTATGATCAGCATTGAATAGCCACAGGTTATTTTAAAGACTTGCAATGGACTTTTTGCTGAGTTTCCTGACGTTTCCAGTGTAGCTCATTTCATTTTGGTTCAGGGTTGTTAGCAGTGCATAGAAAAGTAGGGAACAGAAAAACCTTCCCAAGGAAATTGTAAGTACTGACTTTTCAAACCACTAGTGCATAGACACACTCTTAGTGGCTAGAGTGCCTATTTTCCAAATATGCAAAGTTTTCACCTTCATTTGCTCTTAGCTAACACAATTTACTATGTTTTTGTTCTTCCACTGGAGCATGAGAGTTTTGCTTAAGTAACAAGTAAACTGAGGTCCTCAGCTGAGTACACAAAAACAGCACAGTGGATTTTTGTTAAAGTACATGGACATTGTGTGGCTGTAAAACCACTGAGATTCCTTTTCCTGCCACTAAGGCATTAAATATATTATCTCCAATGACCTTAAACTATTTTTCCATGTATGTTTGCAAAAATAAATAAATGTTCAACATAGCTTCTATACTTCATTTTCCCCTTTATTTCTCATGAACAAAGAGTTTGTTGTATGTATGTGTCTGTGCTTTGTAGCTGGACAGACAGATGGACTGAAAAGTGGATGATTGAATGGCCAGAGGTTTGGGTACCTCTGTGCACTAAAATCCAAGCAAGTGGACAGCTGAAGTAGTTTCAGTGCCTATGAGACGTAGCCTTGCATCCTGTAGTTTTCTTGACTTAATTAGTATATAAAAAATGGCAACTGGTTTTAGTTGGTAAAGTGTCAAGGGTTACACAGGACAGTCTTTGCCTCCATGGGCACAATTGCTGTGTGACAAAGGATGATATGTTTTTCTGAGTTCTCACTGGGTGAAAATATTAACCTAAAATTGGAAGTTGCTCATTCCCTCTCTAATTCTCATCTGCTCAGAAAGTAGGACAAAACTATTTTTCCTCCATGGCTGAGATTCCTGTCCAT